CATTCCAACTTTTATCAGAATAGCAACAAACAGATATACAGTATACAGAATTGTTAATTAGTGTGCTTTACTAAATAGCAAGTTTTATTGAAATATGTTTAAAACTGTAGGAGAGGTGGCATTTTGAAAGAATTTCAAAGAAATTTCTATTTTTTAGTAATTATGCCATTACTGTGTTTCTCAAAATCCAAAAGCAATATATATGGAAATATGTAGCTTATTATAATCTGCTTGTGTTTTTTTTAACCAGAGGGAATCTGTATTTAGCATTTTGAAAAATAATTATTTACAGAGAAACAGATACAATGACAATAAACACCTTATCATAGCATAATTACTGCATACATGTACATTCCCATACCAAAATTAAGTACAAAAAAGTATACTTTAATGCTTCTTTTATACTATATAAATTTGTGCTTTTTAGAAAAAGGTCAGAAAAAGTATACTTTTTTGTACTGGGCCAGATAGGCTCTGAAAGCTGATGACCTTTTTTTGTACTTTATTTGGACTTAGTTTTTTTCCATAGTACTTTTTTTGTACTTTTTAGGACTTAGTTTTTTTCCACAGTACTTTTTTTGTACCTAATTTGGACTTAGTCTTTTTTCACTGTACTAAAAATGTACTTTTCTGGGACTTAAACTTTTTTGGCAAAATCAGTAGAATAAGGATGTACTTTTTATGTACCTAATTTGGACTTAGTCTTTTTTCACTGTACTAAAAATGTACTTTTCTGGGACTTAAACTTTTTTGGCAAAATCGGTAAAATAAGGATGTATTTTTTATGTACCTAATTTGGACTTAGCTTTTTTCTCATTGCAGTGTTAAAAATCAATTTTGAAATTTCAAGCAGATTATTCAATAATTCAATAATAATATTTCAGTATAATTCATGCAATAGGTTTATAATACAGTCAGCATTGGTCAGTATCTGGGAACATTTACTGTAGCCTAGCTAAGTCTTGGCATGATAAAAAAAAAAATACATATCAAATCTTCTGAATTTTGTAAGATTAAAGTTTGTAAAAGTAATGGATTTTTGTTAAACATGTTAAAAGGGAGGATAGTGTGTGTGATGAGGATTGAAGGGGTAGTAATAATCATGTGGTTGATTAAACAAGCAAAAAGTATCAGCATTTACATGTATCTGAAAAATTTAAAGTTGAACTGGATAGTTATACTGATCATCTTTCCAGGGTGAAAAGAACTTAAAAGGGTGGGGGGGGGGGGGCTATATAAACATAATATTGAGACACATGATTATTTTTCTATTTGCTCATTCAACTTTAGGAATTTAGACAGGGATATCAAACTCTCTTTACAATTTTTCAAAATCATTGTCAGGTTTAAAAAAAATGAAAGTAATTAAATGTTTGTGTGTGGATATAATGCCAGAGAAGTTCTTAAACATTCAAGTTACCTGATTTTTCTTTTTAATTTTCAGCAGTGCATGCATGCGTATTTTGCCATGAGCATCTCACTAACATGCAGAGCCATAGGAAAATGCTTCAACAATTTAAGTGTATCTTATCATCAGTAAGTACATATTAATCTAATTTGATTTCTGTAAAATACAAAATAGACATATCAAATTAGTAGGCTTGTCTGTCCTTAATATACTCATGCACTGAAAAGACTTATTTTAAAATTTTCTAAGTGATAGGGATAATCAGGGGTTAATTTTTTGGATTTTCACATAAGAATTTTGAGTTTTAATTGGTTTTCAAGTTATTTGAACATTAAACTGAATACAGGTGACTCTCGATCTCTCGAAGTTCAAGGGACCGCAAGAAAAGTTCGAGAGATCGAGGGGTTCGAGAGATAGAAAGTGAATAAAATCCGGAATTTTCAGTTCCGATCCTCATTGTTCTACTACTATAAATACCGGAAGTATATGTCGATAATATCATTGCACATTTTCATTCGTATTTTACAGGTAATTCACTTGATTTCAACAACAATGATCGTATTTTGAATGAATAAAACGATCTCTTTAAGTTTCAATATTTGTTTGTTCTCATTTCATGATTACATAAATCCTGAATAGAATCGTCGGTGTGGGTACCCCCCGGGCTTGATCGGGTCCTTTACCAGATTTCTCGTATTAAATCGGTATTTAATTCTTCAGATAGGATTTCTTGTGCAATGTTTGTCATACTGGGATTATGTACACTCTAATAAAACTTCACAATCTGTGGAAAATTATTGACACGCCTCTTAAGTTATTTTCTAAAAATTTTCGTCTCGCTGTCAAGTCAAAATAAGTTGTGAAGCAATTCGTTTATAATTTACCAATTATAACCAATTAATTATTTATATCAACACTCGGATGCTCACAGGTATAGTGTCATCTATGTAAACACCCAATTAACACCTCCATGCCAGCCCCAGGCGTTCACTGTTATCCAGGTAAGTCCAAGCTGCATTAATTTTACGCTTGATTTGCATGTACACACGGGCAATCAAAACTTCGAGAGATAGAGAGGAAAAAGCAATGAAATGTGTGTAACGGGACCCAGGTCTTGGTTCGAGAGATAGAGAACTTCGAGAGATTGGAAATTCGAGAGATCGGAAGTAAATTTGCTTAGTTATATAGAGAAAAAAAACAGGACCGCAGGGCTCGACATTAACTTTTTTTCCTACTTGTCCATTCGGACAAGTGACCAAGACATTTACTTGTCCGAACTTCAACTTCACTTGTCCGAAAAAATTTCAATAAATATCTAATACTGTCAACTGGAAAACTAAAATAAAGTCCATTACACATGACACGTGCTTGATTGATTCGTGATGTTATTGATAAATACAACAAACACATAAAACGAAATTTTATCTACCGGGGTAGTCTTTCTGGTCTGACAACAACATAAATGTCCACAAGTGAACCAAACTTCGTTAAGTTCGTAAGTTCCATGCCTTTTCAGTAGTATGCAATTAGTGAACTTCGATCCCGATCGAATGTGAACTCAATTAATAGCAATCGCTATCGGGATCGAATTCCGGTTTTTATGTACAGCTTCCGTCTTGAAACTACCGATTAACTTTCAACAGTCTTTTTTTTCTAAATTATTTAGAAACTCCTTTATATTAAAATGCACTTGTCCAATCGGACAAGTGCCCAGCAATATTCACTTGTCCGTAATTTTTTTTCACTGGTACCGGACAAGCGGACAAGCGTTAATGTTGAGCCCTGGACCGGAGGTTCACTTCGAGAGATCGAGAACTTCGAGAGATCGGAGTTCGAGCCATCGAGAGTCACCTGTATATGATTCTATATGTCAGTCTGCCATGTATTAAGCACAGGAATTCTGCTTTTTGAGAACATATGCTTTGATTATTTAACTTTTTTTTTTTTTGCAGAACCCAAGGAAAAGTACTTGAAGGCTGAAATCATTTAGCATATTCAAATGAAGATCAGTGAAAAAATGGGTGACATTAACACTGCTATGTGGTCAAAGGTTAGTGCACTGAACTGTGTCAGCAAGAAAATTCAAACGGGAGGGAAAGATAGGATGACTAGACTGTGAAGGAGCAGAGATGATCTGTGAGCATGATCAATCAGTGACATAACCATGCATTATAAGTTACTAGAATATAAAGGATCAGATCTTGTTATTTACAGAATTATAATCCTCTTGATGATTTAATGTTCCTGACCAATATATTCTTTAAATTATTTATGGTAAATTAGTACTGAAAATAATGTATAATGTAATGAAGATGTGGGGTTTCACGCTTTTGAATTTTGACAAAAGCTAGCATTTAAGATTTTTGAATTGTAGCATATTTCATAGAGATTTCACCAATTTCCGGTTTCTCTGATTTTTTTCCCTATACTTCATATATTTGTTAAAATTTCATGCTTTCAAAATACAATTTTGTACCTTTAGTTGGTTTTATTTTGGTATACCTGAGCTTAATGGTCATTTTTGAGGTTTTTCATTGTTCTTTCAAAATAATATATGTATTTTTTTTTTTAAAAAGGGGGGGGGGGGCTATTTGCTAAATATTTATTTGGGGGGGTGCTTTTTCCCTTACTTTTTTTGTACCAACTAAAAAGTTTATTTTTTTCGTACTTTCATTTAATATTGACATTTTATTGTACTTTTTTAAGCATCAATCTAAAGGAGTACTATTTTTATACTTTTTCTGCATACATTTTTGTATTTTTCTCTGGAAGTATACTTTTTTGGTACTGGAAGTAAACATTTTTTGTACTTCATAGATTTCTGTAATTTTTTCTGAAAATATACTTTTTTTGTACTGGAAGTATACTTTTTTTGTACTTCATACATTTCTGTAATTTTTTCTGGAAATATACTTTTTTTGTACTGGAAGTATATTTTTTTTGTACTGGAAGTATACTTTTTTTGTACTTCATACATTTCTGTAATTTTTTTTCTGGAAATATACTTTTTTTGTACTGGAAGTATACTTTTTTTGTACTTCATACATTTCTGTACTTCTTTCTGGAAGTATACTTTTTTTGTACTTCATACATTTTTGTGCTTTTTTCCAGATGTACTTTTTTTGTACTTTTGTATGTTAGTTTTAAGAATATACTTTTTCTGTACTTCCAATGATACTTTTTATGTACTTTTCTCAAATATAGAAATGTACCAAAAGTATACTTTTATGATCTTTTTTTTTTGTAACCAAGAACCTAAGTTCTCATAAAGCATAAAAAAAGTATACTTTTTTTGCCTCAATTTGGAACGATCAAATCCCTTGTTCCAAATTTAGTCGAAAAAAGTATTCTTTTTGTGACCTTTTTTTGTACTTTTTTTTTCGTACTTTATTTGTACTTAATTTTGGTATGGGTTCCTTTGTTATATGTCTATGGACAAACAGTCAGTAAATGCCTCACCAAGGCATAAGCCTGGTCTCTGATCAGTATTAACTTGCTAATTATTTGCAACAAACAAGCATATAAAGATCTTGAATAGATTTGTAGATCGACACACTTTTATCAAATTATTTCTCTTAAAATGAAAATTTACCTGCAGCCTTAGCATCATCATGTTCTGAGATCGGATCAGGCATTGGATCGCTGTTACATATTTGTGGAATAGTTTTCTCCTGATTTATAGGTGTTCTGTTCTCTGGTACTGCAGAAGTACTGTCTGGGGTGTCAGTGATGCTGTCCCGAGTACAGAAACTAATCTGGGATTTGTCATCTTTGGTGTAATTACTTTGCTCAATTATAGTAATATTTTCAAGTGTTTGGGGATCTTTTTCTGGAGTTCTGTCGGTAAGATTTAGATTGATTGCTCCTAACAAAAAAGAATTATCAAAAAGTAGAACACTGTGAATCTTATTCAGTTAAGTTTGAATTCTGACTTCTTTTCAATTAATATGAATTCATTCATTCATTTTGTGAGGGGTTCTTTTAAGTTTAATATTTTCATAGTATGAAGAGAACCTGAATTCATGTCTTCTATGAAATCTTGAAAATTTTAAACCACCAAACCAGTATTATTTTTCAAACACAAAAATTAATTGTCCAAAACTACAATTTTTTTATCAATACTTTAAAAATATTATTCCATAAAAACAGGTCATTTCACACTTTATGTATTTTTATAGGAAAAGGAGTGATTTAGAATTTAAGCATAAATCTCATTCCGAAAACTCTGTAACTCTTGATTTTAGCCAAATGTAAGCCCTTTAGGGTTAATTCGGGTTAATTTGATTGTTGCTGAACCTGTATTTCTGTGAAAATATTTAAAATACTTCTTAGCTCAACTCATCAAAAATCATCTAAATTAAGTCTTGAAAAACATATCAAAATTATAAAACTTCTCTTAGTTTACAATGACTGACTTAGCAGATGTATTAGAAAAGAAGATGGGTACTATGTTTGAAGATAATACATACAGAGAAATGGAGTTTGGATCAGAAAATATATCACTTCAGCAATAACACTGTATCAAAAACATACCAGACTTCTCATATGTAAACGAACATGCATGTTCAAAATTTTTTTTCATATGTTGTACATACCATTATCTTCATTGTTTTCTTTATGATCATTGCCATTTAACAATGGTATTTCCACTTGATCTGAAATACACAGATGTACAGTACATGCATTTAAGATGTGTTTCATTATTCTCAATTTACCTTCATGTACTATTAGTTATATAGTTTTGTTGTGACAGGGTACGGGGATGATACCTAGTTAGTAAATTTTATACCTGGCGAGGCGAAGTCGAGCCAGGTATAAAATTTACTAATGGTAACCAGGTATCATCCAGTACCCGTCACTATTTATTTATTTATTTATTTATTTATTTTTTATTTGGTATCATATATCATCATACATAAAACAAATACACATAAATATACATAATCATTTGAAAGACAATATTTGGGAATCCATAAATTTTAAATAGATTTATAAATAAATATTCAGGAAACCATATTTTAGATAGTGACTAGTTGATATCAGGATAACCCATTAAAGCTGGAGAGCTTATTTCCAATGGGGTCCTACCCTAAATAAGATAAAAATACAATGTTTCATCATTAAAGCACTATAACAATTTTTGGCACTATAATTTTAGCACTGTGTTGCTTACACGTTAAATTTAATTTAAGTATGACAACATATAGGATCAATAAAATAATAAAATATGTTTTATAAGTTAATGCTGAAACATATCACTTTCATGTTCTAAAATGCCATTTTGTAAGATAAAACTCTTAACTTGTTTCTTAAAAGTAATCTTTCCTTTAGTACATTTAATAGAAGCTGGTAAAAAATTCCAGTCCTTAATGCCATTATAGTAAAAAGTATCCGCTTGACATGCTTTCACATGAGGAATAAAAAAATCTTCATTAGTGGATGCTCTAGTGTTTCGTGAAGACACAGCTCTAGTGTTTCGTGAAGACACAGCTGACCTTAAAGTAAAATTTTCGCTTAGATAGGATGGCGCACAACCATGATATATGTTATACACATGGTTTAATCTGAGTTGTCTTACCCGGTCTTCTATATTTAAATAATTTAATGTACTAAGCACTTTGTAAACTCTGTAAGAAATTTACCCCACTGATAGCATTATATTCAAGTGGCTATAGTTTGTAAAATTGTTTCTGCCAGTTACATGTTTCATCACGCTTGAAAAGTGCCTATCATGATGTCATGTGCTATGTAATATTGTTTTGTGAGTTGTGCAGTAATAACGTACAGACAGTTTTGAAGAATTTCAGTTAAGGGATAAAAAAGTTCCATTATGTGTGCTCGTTTCTGACGTTAACTTTTTTAATGTTAACAGGCCTTACCACTTAAAAAGATTGACAAGAATTGTTCCAAAACAGAGATAACTATTGACCATGTATTGATTTTCAAGTGACCATGTATAACACCCCCTTTACGTGACAGATGTTAACCAATCATTAGAGGTGGGGTAAAAATAATTAATGATAAATATTATTTCTACTGATTTTCTTGTGAACAAAATTATGTCACATTGGATATAAATTGTGTAAGATACTTAAAATATTCTAAGAAAATAAACTGATATAAATATATAATAAATTGTGGACATAAAAAGGTAAATTTGAATGTCCCTGCATGTGGATGTAAAAAATAAAATATTTTTTTTCCTGAAAATTGTGAAATACAGCATAAATATTTTCTCAAAAATAGCGGCTTAAATTTACACAGTACACTACCCAGATTTAGAAAAAAAATTGTTTTCCTATAAATTATACAAATAAAATGAATACAGCATAAATATTATTTTGAAAATAATATGTTTTTACTCAGAAATTAGAAATTGTACCCTGACTACCATCATCAGCTTCATATAACTAAAAAAATATATAAGAAAATTGAGTAAGTAACTGAAAACAATTCTTAAAATTCAGTTAAATTCCCTTTCATTTCTCTCAACATTTTAGAACCATTTCAAATGTCAAATTAAATGATATGGCAGAACAAAAGGGATACATGTCTAATAACATCTACTTTCAAACACCATTAAGCGATGATAATTAAAGTCTTTTCAGTTCTTTTGGCTTTATGTAACTTATCATGGTGCTGGTTGAATAATAATTTTGCATGCATTGCAGAATTCTGGGAGCTCAAAATATAGATAGAGGATATTCAATGTTTTGTAGATGGATATGAAATTTATTTCACGAGTGGGACAGGATTTTTTTATATTTTCATGAGTGCGAAGCAAGAGTGAAAATATAAAAAATCCAGTCTCACGAGTGAAATAAATTCCATATTCATCTATAAAACTTCGAATTTTCTGTTTATTACATTTTCTTACATTTTCCCTTTTCCTCTGTCTTTTCGTAACACAGTGCTGTAGGCTGTGACGTCATAATTGAGCGGTTGAGATGTCATAGCTAAGCGATTGCGAGATTGAAAAACGTTGTAAACATAGATTTTTAATGACATAATTGGAAAAACTTTTGCAGTCTTACTATTAGTCTTTGTCAGGATGGCTCATTTACTCTACCTTACAAAAGGCCAGAGATTTTTTTAAAAACTGCACTATTCGTAAAGGGAAGGAAAATCGTAAGTTTTGCCACACTTCTGATATTCTCACACTGTGAGAATACCATTTTGATATCCTTCCACACTGTGTCAGAATATCACTTTTTTCAGCAAATAAATTACAGTATTTGGATGTTGAAAATGTAATAATTTGTTATATTCAACAGACCTTTACATTTCTCAGGATCTACTTCACATGCACCTTCATTAGCCTTCCTTTTACAGCAACGGCAAAATACTACAACATAAAAAGCTTTATTAAAATTTTTAATTGTTAAATACGGTAAATTATCCATTGAATAAAAATGATAATTTGAAAATATTTTTCACATTGAAAAGTTTTCACTTTTTTTTTTTCAAGTTCCTTGAGTCAAAGTAATATTTCTAACATGTAGCTAACTTTTTATTAATATCAAACTAAAAAATAAATTTTATGATAAACGTGATGACTTCAACTTTTCTACCTTGAACTTCCCGTATTTATGTAGCAATTTAACAAGGCTCAACATTAAATCAGACTAGACCAGGAAGGCTAGTACTTGGAAAATTTTACTAGTTCTGACCTCAACTTCACTAGTCCTGATGTAATATCTTAAGATCACTATATAATCATGAATGAGTCTATTAATTATTACTAAAACAGAAAAAAACATACTAGTCAAATAACTATACCATCCATGAATCGATGGTTATCTATCTATTGTAAGTGTGTGTATATATATATATATATATATATATATATATATATATATATAGATATATATATATATATATAGATATATATATTATTGAATAAAGAACATGCATTTCTGATTGAAATAAAGAAAAATATCACAATTAGGGAGACATGTAATATTACTTCAATTCACATTAGTTCTAGGTCTGGTTAACTGCAAAAATGACCTAACAGGAGGGATAATTCTGAGTAAACTTAAGCCTGTATGAAAAAATCGGGTGGTGGCAAGATTGGAGAAATATATATCCTAAGGCCTAGAAAATAATGTTTGTTTGCGCTTTTAGGCTGAAAAAATAGGTAGGTGGGTAGGACTTTTTATGCCCCCGGATCGAAAGATCCAGGGGTATATTGTTTTTGTCCTGTCTGTCTGTTTCTCTGTTTGTCCATTTGTCTGTTTGTCTATCTGTCTGACTGTTGTCAACTTTAACCTTGCTCATAACTTTTGATTGGTTGGAGCTATGACTTTCATATTTCACATGTGTATTCCTTGTGACAAGACCTTTCTTTGCGTACCATCATATTTGACCATTTGACCTTGACCTTGGAGTTTGACCCACTTTTGCAAAATTTTATGAGACTTAAACCTTGGCCATAACTTCTTAACAGTTGGTGCTTGGGGTTTCAAACTTCGCATGTGTATTCTTTGTGACAAGGCCTTCCTTTGGATACCAACAACTTTGACCTTGACCTTGGAGTTTGACCTACTTTTGAAAAACTTTATCCTTGGCCATAACTTTTGAACAGTTGGTGCTTGGGGTTTCAAACTTCACGTGTATTCCTTGTGACAAGACCTTCCTCCGGATATCAACCTCTTTGACCCTTTGACCTTGACCTAGGAGTTTGACCTACTTTTGAAAAACTTTAACCTTGGCCTTAACTTTTAAATGGTTGATGCTAGGGCTTTCATACCTCACATATGTAATCCTTGTGACATCATCTTCCTTTGGATACCAACCACTTTGACCCTTTGACCTTGACATAGGACTTTGACCTACTTTTGAAAAACTTTAACCTTGGCCATAACATTTAAATGGTTGGTTCTAGGGCTTTCATACTTCACACATGTAATCCTTGTCACAAGACCTTCCTTTGGATACCAACAACTTTGACCTTGACCTTGACGTTTTACTTACTTTTAAAAAAATTTAACCTTCGCCATAACTTTTGAACAGTTGCAGCTAGGGCTTTCAAATTTCACAGGTATATTCCTCGAGACAAGACCTTTCTTTCGGTACCAACATTTTTTTACCTTTTGGCCTGGATTTTGACTTGCATTTGAGAAATTTTAACCTTCGCTATAAGCTGCCATACGTGGGCATCAGTGTTTCACAAACACATCTTGTTTACATTTGTTTCTTTACAGCTTATCTTGCATCATACAAAGCTGATGAGTTTCGAACAGTTACTTTTCAAAAGAATAAGATAGTTTTCATATGACGTATTTTCCTTTCGAGTTATTTTCCTTGGTTGCCATCTTGGAGGTCAAACTAGTGAATTTTCTTCTTTCAATTGAGCAACCAATTTTAAAAATGTATACTGGAAATATAAGGCCAAAAATTTCATAAAAACTAAAATTAAAAATTAAAGGAAGCTTTTGTCAACATGTATTTGTATGAAAAACTGTGTTATCTTTACCATTATGTCTAGTCCAGTATGACAAGTTTAAATTGGTTGAATAATGAAGGGATCTTGATCTGGGCTTGTTGACCTCCAATATGGTGACTAATGGGAAATAGCTCTTGCTAAAATAGCGCCTATCGAAAACTATCTAAAGATTTGCTAGTGGAAATCTATATTGATTTGATAAATTCTGCATAGGTATTTGAAAAAGCTCTCTTGGTCTGTGTGCATACATGTAAGATATTGCAAAGATATGCTGTACATGTATCTCTGATTTTTCTGTACACACATCATCTGTTTCAATGTCTGCCTTTGCATTTTCATATTTTCAAAACACATTGAAAACATTACCAGTAGCAAGAGTGGACTCTCTGAACATAAAATATCATAAATTTTAAAATATTTTCTCATTGTATTTGTTTTCATGAATAAAGGAAAATATGGAATGGACATTTTTATAGGGGTTTTGTCTTCCATTTGATTCGATACACAAGAGCATTTCTACATACAAACAATTTTTAAAATGAAGCAGGCTTCAGATAAATAAGTTGATGATACAATGATATCAACAATCTTGTTTAAAATCCACATTTCAAAAATTCTATGGAGGATACAGTGACCTTGTTTGCAAGTACATTCTATTATTAGGTTAGATTTTGACTGACATCTTTCATATATTGTTAGGTTATTATTTATAAATGGAATTGTCTATGGATGTTTCCATCAACCCAATCAGCTGATTCCACTGGTGTGATGGTACACATTGTTGTTCTGTACATATTGTCGTTGGTGACAATACATGTACATGTATGTACCTACTATCACTGCACATATTGTCGTCTGTCAGTACATATTGTACATTATGTACCTACCCTCACAGTACATATTGTCATCCCACAATTAGGGATGACTATACACTGTATAAGGATCTTTTTTAGTACTTTTGTGAATGTAGTTGGTGTGTAAGTCACACAGACAAGTTCATGCAGCACGATTGTGACGATACATATTATCCTACATGTGTATACATGTGTATACCGGTGACATTGGCTAACCTTCCCAAACTGCACATATTATCGTCCATCGGCATATATTAATTGACTCGGAACATACTGTCATCAGTGAAAATATATACCAATGGACGACAATATGTGCAGCGAGAGTAGGTAAATATTGACGACAGTATGTACAGAACAATAATATGTACCGTCACAAGAGGTCAGTATTTGCTCTACTTACAATGTGTATTGCTTAATTCGCCTTCTGGGCATGATCACTGTTCATTATCCTCACATTTCATTATTTATTTATTTATCAAATAATTATATATGATATATCCTGGTACAATGTCTTTCTAGTGTACAGACACCCACATGTATCATATCTATCCAGTGTCTTTTTGATATTCATTTTTTTTGTTTGAATATATCTTAGCCGAAACAGCCATCACAAAAATGCCAAACAATGTCTAGATGACAGGGATCTAATTTAGATTTGTCCAAAGTCTTAATATCTATCTTGAGTTCCAGCATAGGTCATAAAATATATCTCCACTTTGTTGTAATTTTTGTTTTACCTTCTTAAATAACATTTATAATTTTTATTCAATTTTTAAGATTAAATTCTGAACAAAATCAAATTTTGTAACTTACCTTCTGAGATTCCCTGGTTGACATGGTGTACAGCTGGAAAAAATAATAAAAATATAACTTGGGGAAACTGAGAAAAATATTTTTTTTAAGAGGCAGTCCACCAAAAAACCAGGCAATGGGTGGCACATCGCATGTCATGGATTTTAATTATTTTTTGCATGTAGACTTATTAAAGCAAATGTCTACACATGGCAACATCAAAATTTTTTTTAGTGTTCCTCGATCTAGTCCTATTTTTGGTAAGTGCTTAATTTTAAGTGCAAAAAGGTCAACAAGTTGGTTAAAAATTTACTACATTTTTGTTTTGTTTTATTTGAAACAGATACTCAAAAACTGGATATGTCAATAAATACAATTTATAGTATAAACCCTTATCTTTTATAATATCAATGAATAAGACACCAATTTATATTTCTTTAGAAAAAATTATGTGGTCTATTAATGAATTCACTGTCCAATTTTCATTATGTTCTAAAATCCAATACATTTAAATGTCAAAACTTTCTTCTCATGTTATTATGAATACAAAGTACAAATTGTTGAACCAATTTAAAAAATTGGTGGGAACAGGTATATTGACAGAAATAAGGGGCGTCAAATTAACTACTAGTACTTTTTATAAATTTATCAAAATTAAACCGATCCCGACCGGAATTGTATAAAGAAGAAAGCTGCTATGATTTCATCATGAAATTTGTATGTTTTGTTTTAATATGGTTAACAAATTACTTGATTTATTTTTAAACATGTTTTCTAGGTGGCAATTACCATTAATTTGATTATTTAATAATTTTGCATTAATTTCGATCAGGATCGGTTTTATTTCAATCGGGATTGGTTTCTATATTAAAAATTAGAAATATTTTCTAAAATAGGCTTTTCGTAGTACTTTATAATAGGAATATGTCTGTATTTTATTTCTTTTCTGTGAGTTACATGTTTTTAGATTATTTTATTCATAGATTACATATATCTTAATTACTAAATGTTTTTCAGGTCCATGAAGATCTTTTTAATTACTTGTAAAACATCTGTTTGATTTCTTGATACACACCTATTTAAAAAGATATTTATTTCATGTAACAATTAAAAGCAAATTTAAGCTTAATCAAATATCTCATTTACAAGAAAAATAATCTTTTAAATTATCTGGAATAAAAAGAAAATTAATCTAAAAAAAAAAAAAGTCCTGCATGTACTTTAATCCAGCAAGTATTTTTTATGTCTACAGCTTTAATCCAATTTTTTTCATCCATTCATCATATTAATGAATATTTTCTGCTCTAAGAAATTTACTTTGAAATAAATAAGACCTGTACATATAATCATGATAATAGAGCCCGGAAATGATCTCACGAAAAAAAGTGGGGGGGGGGGGGGGGGGGGTCTGGGCAGCATCCTTTTTGTAACTTGTTTGATAATAACGAGATATTTTAAAAATTTACCAACCTACTGACTTATTTTAACTCCATATAAAGTATAAGGATATGTGGAACAATTGTCAAATTTTAATTGCCAAACGAAAATAAAAAAAAATGTTCCATTGAATCATCTGCCGTTTTAGTGTCAGCTTGAAGTGGGGCATCCAGCAGTAGTATTAAGTAGTAAATTTATAATTTCTATAACTTTTTTTCTATTTCAGTTTTTACATTTTTAAAAAATTAAAAGTCTAAACAGAATCTGAACCACTGACACTAATAGTAAACAACCATTGCTAATTAGTGAGGTGGGATGTGACGAGTACTTCCATTCTTACTACTGTTAAAACTTATTCGGTCCGACAGTCGATCGTAAGCAATCGTATAATGCTGCATTTGATATTACTGCATATAAGTTAACATATTAAAGTATTAACAACACTTCATGAAGTGCACATCTCAACTTTGCTGAATTTAATGTCGCGTAAATCTGGAATAATCATCATTACCGAATAATAAGAAATAATTCTTAATCTTTTCACATCCAAGATTTATCAGAAATGTTCATAATAAATTAAACGAGAAAAATTATTTTTAGGAATTATAAAATACCAGTATATGCATGTGCTATAAACTCATTTAAAAAAATAAAACAATTTAATCCTATTGTGATTACTGTAAAGACGTTTTGTACATGTATAAAATTACTTATCAATACTGATTTGTTTTAAAACATCTATAGCTGAGGCACCACCCATTAAAAATACATTCTGGATCACAATATTATTTAATGCACTCGGAAAAGTACTTGGACAGAAAAGCGAAATTATTTAACTTAACTTTTTAAAAATCTTTTTTCTTTGCACGTTTACATAAATTTACCAACTTCCGTGGAATATTTGCAATATTGTGACGCAATATTAGATAGGTATTTGACGTCACTGATACATCAATGGAAACATGAATTCAACCTGAATAATAAAGCAAATTTTTAACTAAATATTATGTTTGGAGGTGAAAATTAATTCGGTTTTTGAAAATAAACCAATTATTTTTGGTTGAATGATATTCTTTAGCGTATCAGTAAGTTCTACATATCTCACAGGGGTTCTGATAGTAAGATGTTTACCCGATTTTCCGATGCTACGGGAGATAACTCTTGCATCAATGGTTTATATAGGGGAATTCAAAAACACAAACCAAAACGATATTTTAGTAAATAAGCTATTTTCAAACAAATCTTTACTCACATTATTCCATATGGACTACATTAATATCATTTTCAATAAAATATCAAATATTCTTCACATTCGATGTGCCGCCTATTAATACAATACTGCCTGCATGGTTTTCTGGTAGACTGCCTCTTAAATAAAAAAAAAGAAAAAGAGGCATATGTCCTTTATATAATCACCTGATCATCATGAGTTTTTTAAGACTATGACCACTATGGTCAAACCTCAAACTAGTCTGGAAATTGTGAGACAAACTTTTAACAGTTGTTCAAAAATCTACAATTATTATCATATTCATGCAGCTTATCTCCTAGATGTTTCAGAATAAAGGTAAGGTATTCTGTATAATAAATTTCAAAATTTAAAAATGTTAAAAATGTTAACACATGATGCACTCTTAATGATAATGAAAGAATACAGATGGTGATTCAAGTGACATAGCAAGCAAGCAGTGAGTTGTGCATCACATGTTGACATTGAACATTTTCAGCTTTTTCTCTGGAACTGCTGGACCAATTTCAACCAATTTCTTTTAAAAAAGATTCTACCAAACAAATTTTCAGACATATGTAATGCATCACAGCCTGTAATTTAATTTTTGTTTGGTTCAGATGTACAAACTTAAAGAAAATTAAAGAATTGTCAGATTCTGATAGATATAAAAAAGATAAATTCAGAGGTACATATAAAAATGTTGGAAACCTGGGAAGAAGGAATTTCTCCTATAATTACTCTTATGGCAGAGGAAGATGAACAAATAGTCCTTTTTTAGGGTGAAGAAACATGTACAATCAGAAAGTGAGATCAGACAAAAGAAGAAGACGAGAGAGCATGCAGATATTAAATCAGACAAACAAGGTAAGTGTTGGTCAGGTTAAATATCATGTATCTTAATGGATCATTAAGGATCCATGGGTTCTGAAGACAATCCAAGGTTACAAAATTTTGTTTGATGAGGGTGAATTAAAAAAAAATGACCAAACACATATTTATCAACCTGCACTAAAAATACAGCTAAAGGGAATAAATTTCTATGTCTCAGCATATGTCTTTAGATAGTGTCTAAATTCCTGCCAAATATTTCACTGATATCTCCATTCGCAAAAAAGTTATGGCCAAAAAAGATGCTAAAAATGTCAGGAGTGCAACACCTTTTTGTAACATATTGAAAATTCAATATTTTTTGAAGATCTGTGAAATAAATAATATTGGTTTATGTTGGAAATAAAGACTTTCCTGGTAATATTTAAAGTATTGAGCTTAAAATGTACAGTGTAGCAACTTTTTTTTGACCAAGTCATCGCTGATGTTGAAAAAAAGTTATACCATGTCAGGAGTGCAGCATAAGAAATGTAGTGTTGCCAAAAAAACATCATTTTTAAAAATCTGAGAGACCCTTAAGTCAAAAAAGAATTTTCAAAGCATAAAAAAAACTGATATACAATTTAAAACTTTAAAATGTTATATAAATCACAAGCAGCATTTCTGAGAGTCAAGTATCTGTGTATATCCAATAATGTCAAGAGTGCAACATTTGATGTTTTGCTCCCCAGCATGAAAAAAACTTCTATCAGTATATGATTCTCTGATTTTACATTACCCCATGACTGATTGATTTTGAGCTGTTTTATGTCCCATTCAAGAATTTTTCATTCATATAGAGACGTCACCATATACCGTTGAAAGGCTTCAAATTTAGACCTTTACTCTGCACTTTGGGCCACTGAGTAGTGAGGCTTCTTTATCGTGTCAATGCCCACCGTGACATGGGGCCTCAATTTTTTAGGTCTCATCCAAAAGACCCGCAACTTTCACTCCAAAGTGCCGAGTGCTTGGCGGAGGAACAGTTACTACCTATTTTTTGTCGACTTAAGTCAGTCACAGCCGTGATTCGAACACACGACCTTCCGATCACAGAGAGAGCGCTCTATACTGACTGAGCTACCAAGACGGTCACTCCCTAACTATCCCAGACTATCCCAGCATGCTTCCACATAATTTTCAGCTTTTCTGGTCCAGTGGTTCTTGAGAAGAAGATTTTTAAAGATTTTTTCTATATCTTTCAATGTAAAACGTTGATTCCCTATTGTGGGCACACCCTACCTCCAGGGGTCATGATTTGAACAATTTAGAATCTACACTACCCCAGGATGTTTCCATATAAGTTTCATCTTTTCTGGTCCAGTGGTTCTTAAGAGGAGATTTTTATAGATTTTTTCATTGTATTTCAAATTTTTCAATATAAAACTTTGTTTACGTATTGTGGCCCCACCCTACCCCCAGGGGTCATGATTTGAACAATTTACAATCTACACTACCTCAGGAAGCTACCATATACGTTTCAGCTTTTCTGGGCCAGTGGTTCTTGAGAAAAAAAAAA